TCGGCCAGATCTATGTGGGGCAAGTTGGAAGGGAATTTTTATACCTATCGGCGCTTACTGAGTCAGTCTCCGAAACCGGCGTTCTCTATGTTTTCGCCCTATGTTACCTACAATTTTGAACCGTCGTTTTGCTGTTGCTGTGCTGTGCTGTTGCTGGTCTGATGCTGGACGCACTGTGTTGGAGCTCTCAGTCGGGCAATGGCGCAGAGCAGGTAGCCCACAGTTCCGCCGCGAGAGAGGGCTATCAGACGTGCGGTGCCGCCCACAGAGCATCCTCCATAATCTCCTTGGCCTACATCACAGAATTCTACACTTAGTGCAGAATTCTGTGGCCTACATGAACTTTAAGTTCGAGGACTTGTTTTATTATTTCGTTCTAAGCCTACATAATGAATTAAATATATTATGTGATGCTGTATACGGGCTGCACTTTACCATAGCCTACTAGCTCTAGAGTGTGGTCCAAAAACATTAATTTTTGTGTTGTTAACATAAAATTTCACATAATATTAAAATTAGCATTTAATTTTGCTCTAGATCCAGTCATATTCTATGCATGTAAATTGGAGGTGGGCTACTTTGAGATGGAGAAGCCTGGTGCAAAAGTATGCTTTCATCTTTCATAAACTCGGGCCTTTTTTGGGGACAACACGCATTATTTCTGATGACTGGGGGGGGGGGGGGGGGGGGGGGGGGGGCCCCAAAAAAGAGGGAAAAAAAAATATAATGGGAGGGATAACCCCTGGACCGGCGCGCGCGGAGGGGGTAAAAAGAGTTTGTTTTCCCCTCTATAGGTTTCGGGGGGGGGGCCCTGGGGGTAAAAAAAAGAGAAATTTTTTGCCCCCCAAAGGGGGGGAGAAGATCCTGTAATATTTTAGCTTGTCTACCTATCTCTGTATCAAGTGGAAGAATGTAAGTTGTTTTTCATTCAGAAATTGAATATTTCTATGTAATAAGTTTATTTAATTAAAAATGTGTTAATCATTAGACAAAACTTCTCTTTCTCAGCAAGCGGCATGATTAAGTAGTTTGAGTGAACGATAATTGATTTAAAATAGATTAGACCGAACAACAAAGATGACCTGGCAGGCCCACAGAGGTTTGCAATGTTTTCACCGACGGAAAAGATCACAGCTGGTGCAGGAGCCTGGAGGCTTCACAATATTTAACAATGAAGACTGTTTAGGCTTAGCACTGAATGAGAGTGACTGCGCACCGGAGAAACTGCTGGTTTTAACCGGTAGTTGGTTAGTAAGTGAGATCTTTCGTTTTTAAATTGGAAGAGGCTAGCAGTACTTAAGGCCACCTCTCAGGCAAGTCTTTTGGCTATTCTCACCCGGTGCGCGTTCACCGTTATAGCCTAGATCTAGGCCAACAAATTTTGCGTTCACCCTAAACCACAGAATTCTACACTGTGATAACAGAAAAATTGTAGAATTCTGTGCTGTGAACAAACGTTCCATTACAACTGTACTTGTAGCGTACTAAAAGCGTACAATTTTGTGGCCACCTCTATTCTCACCCGGAGTGAGAATAGTGCAGGCGAGTCTTGTGGCTATTCTCACCCGGTGCGCGTTCACCAAATTTTGCGTTCACCCTAAACCACAGAATTCTACACTGTGATAACAGAAAAATTGTAGAATTCTGTGCCGTGTACAAACGTTCCATTACAACTGTAGCCTACTAAAAGCGTACAATTTTGTCTGTGGGCAGTGGAGAGAGAGAGAGAAAGAGAGAGAGGAGTAGCGCGAGAATTTCCGGGCAAAACAAAATGGCGACCCGCGTAGTTCGGCTCGATTCGAAAAGTTAAATAGCCGTAGCATCTTTGTAGACAACCAAATTAATTTACTTTTGTGTTTTAACATCATTTTTTAACTTTGTTTTGGTCAATTTGATCGTCCACACCGATAGACAGTATTCAGAAAGGCCACCTCTATTCTCACCCGGGATGAGAATAGTGCAGGCTAGTCTTTTGGCTATTCTCACCCGGTGCGCGTTCACTGTTAAAGCCTAGATCTAGGCCAACAAATTATGCGTTCACCCTAAAGCACAGAATTCTACACTGTGATAACAGAAAAATTGTAGAATTCTGTGCCGTGTACAAACGTTCCATTACAACTGTAGCCTACTAAAAGCGTACAATTTTGTCTGTGGGCAGTGGAGAGAGAGAGAGAGAAAGAGACAGAGAGAGGAGTAGTGTGAGAACTTCCGGTCAAAACAAAATGGCGACCCGCGTAGTTCTGCTCGATTCGAAAAGTTAAATAGCCGTAGCATCTTTGTAGACAACCAAATTAATTTACTTTTAAATTGTGTTTTAACATAATTTTTTAACTTTGTATTGGTCAATTTGATCGTCCACACCTGTTATGTTGAAGGGGCTAGCACAATAAGAAAAACACATGCGAGATCCATGAACGGGTGTTCTGAGACTTCTTTGTTTAATTGACCTACATTGCATAACACACAGGCGGGTAACACCGACTTGAAATACTAATACCGTACTTGGTGTGATAACCGTATCTAGGACACTACAACACCGATAGACAGTATTCAGAAAGAGACAGAGAGAGAGAGAGGGGAGGAGTAGATCTTGTGAGAACTTCCGGGCAAAACAAAATGGCGACCCGCGTAGTTCGGCTCGATTCGAACAGTGAAATAGCCATAGCATCTTTGAAGACGATCAATTAGACTTACTTTTGTGCTATAACGTAATTTTTTCTTGGCTTTTATCAATTTGATCATCCACACCGATAGACAGTATTCCAAAATGAGGAAAAGCAGGTCTTGTTTCGCACCGGGTGAGAATAGCCTACGCTGGCAAGTCTCACTCGGGGTGAGAGGTAGATCGTTTTTCTATTCTCACCCCGGATGAGAATAGCCACTTCCATTCAGAAAGAGACAGAGAGAGAGAGAGAAGAGGGAAGGAGTTGATCTTGCGAGAACTTCCGGCGGGTGAGAATAGCCACTTTCCAATTTTGGGCAAAACAAAATGGCGACCCGCGTAGTTCGGCTCGATTCGAAAAGTTAAATAGCCGTAGCATCTTTGTAGACAACCAAATTAATTTACTTTTGTGTTTTAACATAATTTTAAAACTTTGTTTTGGTCAATTTGATCGTCCACACCGATAGACAGTATTCAGAAAGAGACAGAGAGAGAGAGAAGAGGGGAGGAGTAGATCTTGCGAGAACTTCCGGGCGGGTGAGAATAGCCACTTTCAGTACTTAATGACGGCTAGACTGTTAGGCTAGACTGTTAGGCTACTGTACTGTAGGGCAAGACAGCTGGGCTTGCTGTACGACTTAAAATTCTATAGATATCTAGAAATCTAGATCTAGATCTAGAAGATTCTATATGATGGCTAGACTGACAAACAACAAAAATAGGCCTACTGAATTGTAAATAAATGTTTAGTGTGCGGTTAGTTTGCAGTACCTAAAGCCTAAAGTATTTGAATTTGAGACAAAACCAGGTGCCTTACAGTCCATGCTGGCTTTAAGGGGGGGGGGGGGCTACACCTGGAGGCTATCTCGCTTATTACTGGACCGAATTTTACCAAATTTCACACATATAACAAGCATAGTAAGGAGTCTTAAAATCTGCAATCAAATTTGAGAAAAAAGTTTCGTTTCCATGGATACGCCGCCATATTGGATTTTATTGACATGTCTTACGTAATGAATGCCGCATTTATCGCTCATGGAAATTGATTGTTTTTTTGCATGCGTGTTCACAAACATTAGATCTAAAAATCTGTTTGTTGTTTTTTTCCTAATCGCATTAGAACATTTTTAATGAATTTTTTCCTGAGGTATATTTCAAGTTTGCAAAAAATCTGTGAAAATCCACACTCCAGACACCATCAACAAAAATTTATTCCATATATCAAAAATTCAACAAACAAATTTTTAGTATTACCTCTTCTCTTCATTCTGTGAAAATGTCATGAAGATTGGATGAAAAATGGTGGAGTTATTCAAAAAAAGTATAGAGAAAAGTCGCATTTTTGAGAAAACGGCCGATAAAGAAAAATAAAATACTGACTTTATGAGGAAATGGCGGTTACAAACATGCCCGGTATGGGAAAAAATACGGTTTTTGGGGGTTCTTATGCCATGAAAGAGTTGTAGGAGATGTTGAGGAAGCTAAAAATGCCTACAACTCAAATTCCATAATTTTGAGCCGAATTTTGATTTTGGGGGTGTAGCCCCCCCTCTCCCCCCCTTCTTAAGCACGGCAGCACGGTCATCAGGAGAAAGCTTTTAAAACGTTCTTATTAATGCCGAAGCGTGCGTGAGTGCGGAGTAGACATGATCCAGAGATTTTCAGGTAGAAAATGTCACGTGCTATTTCCCTTTGTTTGTAAGTAGGCCTATAGCGGTCCCGCAAAAGTGTGCTGTTATTTAGACACCCGCCATGGTAGTTTTTGTTCGCTTGTTTGTTTTTGTTTTGTGATCCAAAGGGAAATGAAAACTTAATTGAGACGGCTAGTCACGATACAGCTCACTAGGCCTACCACTGCTCGCTGTGCCATATTCATACCACCGCCTTCATCCCACCTAGCGCGTGATACACAATCAGGGTTATCGGATAGCGAGGGTCAAAGAAGAAATCGCAGCCAGCCTCCCTTTCTCGTCTCCCCGACTCTCTTTGTATTTTTTTGTCTGGGTGTAACTTTGCCCTAGGCTAGATCCTATGTCCACGCGCACGGCTGTGTGCATCTTTCTGCCTTCCTCTCCACGCATGTGTGTGTCTCCATCCCTTGCATTCTCATTGTTTCTCTTAAAACAAACTCACCGCTGCAGTGTAGGCTGTGTTCGAACTTTGATGGGTCATCATGAAAGTATTGACTGTCTTGTAAATGAAGCGTGCCTGAAGCCAAAGTAACCGTGCTTAAAGGTGTGTAATTTGTATAGCAAAATTTCGGTAAGAGCCATTTAGCGTGCTTTCTGTCCGAAATGTGCTTTATGCCGGCGTGCTTAAAGCCGGCACGGACTATACTGACAATTTTAAACTTGAATAAACTTACTAATGAGACCTGTTTTGTAATGTTACTAAGGCCTTAGATAAGTAGCCTACGACTAGACTGGCAGGCTAGCCGTACATCTAGCCGTACATCCTGCTTAGCTAGCCGTACTTCCTGCTTAGCTAGCCGCTTAGCTAGCCGCTTAGCTAGCCGTACTTCCTGCTTAGCTAGCCGTACTTAACGGCTAAGTAGCCTACAACTAGACTGGCAGGCTAGCCGTACTTCCTGCTTAGCTAGCTGTACTTCCTGCTTAGCTAGCCGTACTTAGCGGCTAGG